AAAAAAGTTCTAAACAAAACAGAAACAAATCAGTGAAAAGAACTTACTCAGAATATGTAGATAGTATTTTTGGAAACCAAATTTGCTTAAAAAGGATATGATTTTTTCAAAGTTGCAAAAATATCAAACATGCAGTTTTTTTTTTTTTTTTTGCAAAAATGTTTTATTCAGCAGTAATATAGAAAGTATTAAAACTTTAATAGATCGCTATCTGAAGCACTGTCTTCCATATTTTGTTGGAGGTTTTTAACATATGAAGAAAACTGAACTATGGATGGATGGATTTTGATTGATTTTGTCATTCACCTTGCCTGCCTAAAATCTATTCATGTTTTCTGCTTCAGGGTCATGCTAAACAGAGGTAACCTTGGAATCAGTTTGCTTGAATGCCATGGCAACACAAATTAAAAGTCATATAAATTTTGGAAGGAGAAACCTAATGGTGTCGCAGAAAAAAATTCAAAACTTGAAAACTACTTGCTTCGTGCGAATTTGTTATTTTTTTTGTAAAGACCAATGATTTTAATGATGGTGTTAAAAGATTCTGAAATGTCACAAAGAAATCTAAGCTCGGTTATTTTTGGTTCCAGGCTTCCGTCCTAAATATCTTGCATCATGGTTGCATTGCATTGGGTACTGGGTATACTGTCACAGAATAATTCATATGTTGAAAGCTGCCAATAAAATACAGATGACAATACGATAATAACAGAAACAGTGTTAAATTCTGATATTGAAAGCAAAAGCAGACCTTGTCAGAAAAAGTTTGTTAATCGCATAAAGTGAGAAATAGAAAAAAGTAAATATTTGTAAATAATGTTAGTATTCTGAAGAAGTACTTCCACAAAAAACAACAAAAAAAAAAAAACAATGACAAAAGGTTTCAAAGTTGAAATTATTATTTTTAGATAAAAAAATAATTTGATTGAAATCAGATGCAATGTTCAATACAACATGCGGTGCAAACATTGGGAGGTATCGTCAAATTGCCTTCTATGCTGGCGTGTAATTGCGAGTGACACTAAAACAGACCAAAATAAAAATCAATGGCCAAACCCCACACGCTAGTGTACACAGCTAGTTTTAAATCAAACTACAGTGTCGTCCCTATCGCAATTGAACACCAGCACCAATTTGACGATATATAAAAAAAAAAAAATTACGCAACATCACACATGAGAAAATAAGAACAAACTAAGGAATGGATGACGGAGAGAAAATGAGAAGATACGATGAGGAGGATGATGAAGTTTGAATTTGTACCTGTTCGCCCTTTACCTGCTCCCCCTTTACAGGGCGGGTGATGTGAAGAGAAAAGTGAAATGAATCAACAACCAAGAGAAAAAAGTAATGAAAAGAAATGTTGAAAAATTGAAAAAAGTTTCAAAAATTATTTTCAAATTTGTCGGTTTAAAATTTGAGCCAAATTTTCTCACATACAAAATCACAAATACAATAATTTTTTTGTCATGATTTCATACCTAATATGGGCATTGATTTTTTTTCATGACATCATAAGGAATACCTAATATGGATCTAACACATTTACCTTATTTGAATAATGCAACTATTAAAGTATTAAATGTGGTTAACGAGTGGCAAAAAAACACATAAAAGCATAAATATTAGAATGATTGAACCAGAACATCAAAACACATCATATAAGCCATACATGATGTGTGAATGAGTTCTGACTGTTGCAAAACTTAGCATTTAAATGATTCTCTATTTGAAAACTATCATTGTAATGCAAAGAATATGAATATTCATGACATGTTTTTGCATATTAATGATGTTCATGACACAATTTGCATAAATAACCAGGTATTCACACAAAAGTATTACTGGAACAGTACCTTCTTTGTGACTTTAACACTGGATTGTTTTGGTTTCACTTCATCTTTTGGAGGCTCTGTCACCTCACCCTTGAATTTCAGCTCAGGGTGTGCCTCTTCTAAGGTTGGTACAGTGGGTTTTTCGCCGTTTACAGCAACCTCTGTCGGGTAGGATAGAGGGGTAGGAATATATATAGCAAGTTAGTAAAACAGGTATCGTTTGCGGCTTTTGTATCGCTGTTGTTAAAACAATGTCTTAATAAGACATTCGTTAGATCACAGCAAACGATGCAATGCAGGAAAGACCAAGCAAATATTGATCACCATAATGCAATGATTTAATAAACAGAGAAGTAAACATCTATAAAGCATCTATACCAAGAACTGAAACCAATTAGTGATGCAGAAAAATGTACAGATAGCAAAAAATAAGAAGAAAAAAACACAGAATTTTACTTTAGTACAAATAATGTTAATTAATTAATTAACAAAACAAAACGAAAAAAGCAAACAGTAATTTGTTTACAAAATGATGAGCATGTAGAGTGAGAATCAAAAAGTAACGCTGAAAAATAAACAAGAACCAATTAAGATTAAAAGTGAGGTGTATTTAAAGTTGAAAAAACTGATAAAATGAAAATATATAGAGAGAATAGAAGACAATGAATTGATTTGTTCCATGCGGTAATCGAATATAGACAGAGTGTCCCAGATATCATAACCCAATAGCATCAAACCAATACACATGCACACGCACTTTCATACAGCAATGTGTGTATAAAACTGTAATATGGGTACAGGAAAGAAGACTGCATGTATGCATCAAGAACATGAAGTTAGTGCAATATATACCAAAAAAAAATCAAATGGAGGGATTAACGAGGGTTAAGGTGGGTGGTGGTTAAAAGTCACATTTATGAAAACAGAAAAGGAAGCTGCAAAAAAATGAATTGGACGGCCCCTAGTCATGGTTGGTTTCAGGCACAGATCCAAGAACAGAGAGATATTGAAATGAGGTGGAGTATAACCAGTCTTGTTTTATTGTTAGATAGAGTCACTCCGAATTTAATGGAGAAACAATTCCTGATGAAGACACATCGTGAATCGCTGCAAGCCATCTTGTTGTTCTCTTCAGCATAAATTAAACGCAGTAGCTCAAATGTACGGCATGTTACGATAGTAGGAAATATAGATGACTTTAAATTTGATTTTTGTCATCGTAGATGGAAACTTGTAAATAATACAACAAATATGTGGGTTTTGTTATTATATTATTGCGAACACACGAAAAAGATGTTGCACCGAAGACATTTAAAAACGGTTATTATGCGCTGTAATGTAATTAAAAAAAGTATGGAATTTATCTATTTCCATACTGAAAAATAGATTTTCAAAGTATAACCGGAGACATGGAAATGTGTGATAAAAGAGAGGAGTGTGAGAAAAAATAAATAAACAAACATTGAATTGAGAAAGACTTTTGAGATAAAAGATTAAATATTGAGAGATGAAACAGGCCATAATACCGACACCCACATGATAAAAGAAAAGTAGTGACAACATAAAAAAACACTTGGCATTGTTTCATGCAGTGAATAGGTTTAGATCAAGTGCGCTTTTAATTATTTTACCACTCAGACAACATCAAGTGCATCAAAAATCATCCCAAGCACCATGAGTGAGGGTGGGCGAAATTACAAACTGCTTCACAAAAAAAAAAAAAAAAAAAAAAATTAAATTAAATTAAACAAAATATAAAATATAATATAATATATAAACATAGACCTGTACACACTGAAACAATTGTGTGCAGGGGGGAGGTGAAGTTTAAGTGCTGTACCAGTTTTAGTAGAGTTGTCGTTCGAGATGCAAGCCTTGGGTGGATCTCCAGCTTCAGACTGTGAGTCACTGTCTGGTGAGTTAATAAACAACAAACACACAAACCTATGAGAGGAAGTTCACTCATTCACAGCAAAATGATCGGGGAGAAAAAAAAATTCTGTTACACTTCAAAAAAAGTAGAACAGGATGGGGGGGGGGGCTGTTTATAAAACTTGAACTTCAACTGTTGGTTAACTGGGCTTGATGGCAGGTAGTTGGACGGGAACGGATTTGTTTTCTGTGTGAAGTGTGTATTTATGTAAATCAATGTACTTTGCAGTACAATAAATAAAATAATTTGAATAATCAAACTAGTATAGATAAAGCCAATCCCATCCCACCAATCACAATCACTGTTACATCTTGTAATCATGGCAGCTGCAGTACATCTTTGCGAGCGAGTAAGAGGAAATTCAAATAGAGAAAGCTTTCCAGTAGAGTTTATTTTATTTATTTATTAAATTAAGAGTTGAAAAAAAAAGATGCAGATCAGTGATAGAAAAGATTTGTCAAACAAACCACACTTTGTTAAAGTATTACAAACTTGTTTTGATCACTGGGCAATTCCATTATTAAAAAGGGCGGGCAATTGTACCATATGGGAAGCACAGAATGGACTGGTCTAGAAGTTTTTTTTGTTTTTTTTAGGCAATCAAATTAAAAAAAAAAAATTTTGATGTTTATGGGGAACATGTTTATTTTGAGTTTTTCCTAACTTTTGTTTGTACATGAATAAAAAAAAGTTCAAAAATAAGGCTTGATTAAAAATTTATCAGTATTATTAAAAAAAGTGAACTTTTTTTTTTTCATCACCAATTTTATTGCATTCATGTTGCGAAATGAATGAGCTAGGGGCTGCCCTTGTTTTTCGTAGAACTAAATTAAAATAAGTAAATAAATATTCTGAAAAAAACAAAACACAAGAAAATAAAGAAACAGATGAGAGAAATGAACAGCATCACAAGTATGTGTTGTTATGGTTACAGTTAGTAGAAATTAAGCCGTGCATACAATTCTATTATTATAATATGGGTGTTAGTAGACAAGCTTTAGTATTCGGTTACAGACTAGAAAACAAATAGAAGGAAGCTGATTGGTTGTTGTGAAGTCAATTATTAGCATATTAGTGTATTCATATGTGTTAATAGCAGCTTCACATAATTACATACTAATTTTTGGTTTTCTTTCCCAACACACAAGTCAATACTCAGTCATATAATAAATCAGTGATATCATTCCCATACCGCAAATCCCATCCCCACCCAATTCAAAATTGCAACAGCCATGATGACACTTGTTCCTTGTAGCATATTGTAGAAAATAATAAACACAAAATCAATGATTTTACATTTTTACGCAATTTATATATATATATATATATATCCACCTTGCACCAAATACGATTCAAATAAAGAAAATATAGTGATGAACGGAATTTATTCATGACAGGTAGCCTCAATAAATTAACCTACGCTCACCAAGAGATACTTTGATAAGAAATGTAGTAAACAAATCAGATCAATATTTCCCTCAAATGTTTTATTTAATTTGAAGAAAACAAAATTTGCAGTCGGAGCAGCATTACAAGAATTAAATGAGTAAAATTTTTATGAAATTTAACATGTTCTCTACATCATAGGGACAATTTTGGTTTCCGATGAATCAAGCAACAATAATGATGCAATTTTTAAATAGTACATCAAAGAACAGATTAGCATTCTTTTAGTTTATTTACCAAATTTAAACAAAAGTTGAACAAATATGACAGCTGTTCAAAATAAAAAGATAAAATAATTCACCAGTTTAGGGCTGCTAAATTTTCACCAAAAACAAAACAAAACAAAACAAAAATCTGTTGAATTGCAGCTACAATTACATTCCATATTTTCACCAATTTCAAATTCCTTGACAGAAACAATAATTATTCAACAACTCAATTTTTATCAAATATTATAAGTATTAATAACAAAACGAGTTTTTACCAGATGAGTCTTCTCCTTCCACATCATCTGGATCATTGATATCCGCCATCGGTAATCCAGCAACTTTCAACAGCTCTAACTGTCCTGTGAACGGTTAAATCACAAAAGAATTTTCAACTAGGAAAAAAAATGCTGTTAACATTCTAAAAATTTAGAATTACAATTTGAGATTGTCATTCACGGTTCGTAGATATTTTTGCTGTCCTAGTATACTCGTAAATGTTGCCTCTTGTGTGAAAGAAATTATATTTTATTTCACACTCACTTTTTTCTACATCCGGTTTGAGCCTCTTGTTCTTGATCAGGATTTTTCTTTTTAGCCGGCTCGGCGGAGGCAATGGTTGACCTGGTTGAAGCTAATGAAATAAAACATAATATATATGCATTCTTCTTGCACAATATATATATATACAAGTCTTGAAATGGCTTGAGCTCTCAAATTAACTAATTCCTGACTTCGAGTAGTTGGGTTTTTCCAGAACACCACTTACTAGAGGGCATAAGAAAGTACCCGGATGAGAGTGGTGTTCAGCGCTTGGAGTGGGGTTCAATTAATTTTGTGGAAAAAAACCTTAAAATGGTTATACAAATGAACATCTATTAGAAACTCAAAAATTGTTAATTAACTTCACCGAATAAATCATTCAATGTCTGCCTTTCTGTTGAGTCAGTTGAAATAGAGGTTAAAAACAAAGTAAATCACTGAATCATCTGCCGAGGGCACTATATAACCAGTGGTGACTATCTCTCTGAGTCATAACCACAATGAGTTGATCAGCATACTGTAGATTTCCAATACATAAATGTATCCTTGTCTCACTTACCAAGAAATCCTCCAGGGGCTTCTCTCAGTAGAAATTCACCCAACACGTCTTCACAGTACTTGGCTAGTTTATATTGCTGCTTTTTGGTGCAGTGATTCTCAAAACTCAGTATGACAGGGTAGTCTGAGACGACAAAAGCTGTGTCCCGTATAGCATATATGACATCCTAATGACAGACAATATAAAATGAGAGCCAATTAGGAACGAATGCAGCTATAGACATTTGATGTTGAAACTGAATTCAAAATGGCCGCCAAAGTAGATTTTAAGGTACCGATAGTTTTATAACATAGAAGTAATTGATCATGGTAAATCATTCCAAATTTGTTGTGTGATGATTCACATACATGCACACCATTCATATTTAAAGTTTTTATAGAAAGATATAGATGTGTCTTTAAGAAAACATAATTATCCAAAATAACACAAGAAGCGGCCATTTTGTAACATTTTCTATAGGAGTCCATGTAAACACAGTATTTCCATAGAAAAACTTGTACTAATATTCAAAATTCTCCAATTTTTCATGACAGTCATTTGTAGACATCAAAACATGTTTATAGCACAGGTCATTGAACCAAATTTTTAGATATGATGAAATGTTTCTGCCATAGAAACCAATTTTAAACTTCTCAAAACACACATTTTCGAGGTCGTGGAAAACTTAATTCGTTGAACATATTTATTTTCTGAAATTTGAATATTACATTAACCCAGTTAACAACAATAACAACTAGATGGGAATTGTTTTCTTGATTGATTTGGCTTAATATGCCACGGCAGATCAAGATGTAAATATACAACTTTCTTAAACTGCCCATCCAATCACTCACCCTAAACAGAACATCTGTACACATGGCTTTCCCATGAGTGATGATCGGCTCCGCATCGTCTCCCTTGCCGTCCCAACAATCTAATTCCACACATCTGTATGGCATAATAAATAATACAACATGTAGCAGTGTGGCCATATTAAACCGTTAAATAGTGTCTGCGCGAAACAATTATGTTCCTTTCATTGATTATTGAACACAGCATAAAGAAAATACGTTAGCACAGAATCATATAAAACAAAAAGTTTCGTGCTACTTTCCAGATGCTGTTGTTTTTACTGACCTGCACCCTGATAGCAAGACTTGTCTGTACATCTCCACCGACGATTTACCGCCAAATTGTCGACCTGTTAGGTAAGTATTATGGGATGAGTTAATATAGTAATGTGATAGAGGCTGGTCCATGTCCATGTAGAGTTCCAGACGATCCAGAAACACTGGAGCGTTCTCATCCGACATAAGGTACCGACACAAACCATCTACGCTTAGCTGTTCTGTAAGTAAAGAGACGAGAAAAAGTTGTCAGATTTCTGATTGTTTATTATTATTTCAATCGTCATTAATTAAATATTGACAGGGCATTGACTTCACCAAGGATATATTTCAGTCAAAAATATTATACATAAATACTTCATTGTATATACCTAGACATACTTGTTAAGTATAGAATGTCTTTTAAACCATTATCATCAGCATTTTTTTCTCCATCACATTTCATCTGATTTCTTTTTTTGATTAATTCCCTTTTTTTAATACTAATTTCTCTCACCAATTATTATGTATTCTGTAAAAATGATGCCAACAAATTCCAATATACAAAATGTTTTTTTTGGGGAAAATCAGCAGACCTGAGAGAAGTAAAGATACATTAATATATTTGGCCCATGTTTCTTACCTGCTTTGCAAAATTCATCATCAAACTCGTAAGTACTTATGATCTGCAGAACGCGCTCACGATTGTAAAATGGAAAGAGAATCTCATTCAACCGTGGATCTCGCTGTTGTTCGTTCAGGAAATTTATCATTTGATCCACTGACACTCCACCCCTACTGGATTTGATACTGTGTGGAGAAATAATAATAATGCTTGACAATCTGTAGCAGTAAAGATGAAAAATAAATCTTCTGAGAAAGACGGTGAAAATTACAAAAATATTCATCAAAATTGGAGAATTGAAGATATCATCACGAAATGAACCATCTGAGAGAGGTCTACATGTAGTGCTTATATATATATATATATATATATATATCAAAGCAATCAACTTGTGTTTTTTAACAAGAAGTCAAAAATATAACTTTTTACCAAAAATGACAAAATATTTACGAAAATTAGAGAATTAATGATATCATCATAAAATGATAAGCTCCTCTTGACAAAGTCAACAGCGAAGCTAACAAAAAAAATGAGTTTCTTACATATCTTTGTGAAGCTCCTCAATGTCCGTCCTGGGACATATCTTGTGATAAAGTTCATAAAACTTCTCAAATTGGAAATATTTGGGATCAATTTCTTCATTCTGGTTGAAGGAAAAAAACAAAAATGAGTGTGTAAAATAATAATTCCTTGAGAAAAACGGAAATATGATGGACATGTGCCAACTCCTTCGCATGTGAAAAACAATCAACAAAAATATAGAATTTGAATAGATTCACTCGATTTATGTTCTTGTTCCACTGCAATTGTGAGAATTGAAAAAAAAAAAATGAGAAGAAAACTCATCACCTTCTCAAACTTACCTTGCTACATGGCAGTCCAATTTCATCAAGCGACTTAAAAATGATTTTTTCAGTTTTACCAGAAGCGAATGTCCTCGTAAGATTTTTAACTGGAATGTTCCCATTTGGGTTGACTTGAAAACAGATACGCATCCAACTATAAAACGATGATAAAAACAAATTTAAGAAGGGAAAGTTTAAAATCATGAGAAAATATAAAGTCATTGTCAATTACAGTTGCCATTCAGTTTAAGTTTTTTTTTTTTAGTGACTGTGTCAAATAAAATATCAACAAAATATTGCAATTTTGAACCCAATCCGAAAAATAAAATGAAATGCACCAAGGTACCGTTATGTTAAATGTATATACCAAGTTTAAACAAAATCGTCAATGCATGATTGAGATCCATAATGGTAAAAATGTGTAATTTTGATACATCTTTGGCCTTCAAATGGCTGCCATTCGGCCATGAATGGAGACTAAGAAGACAAATTCATCAATAATGTGTGTACAGATTGCAGAAATGCAAGTGGGAGACAAGAAAAGTTTCACTATTGAAAGGTTGAGCGCCCTCTATTGCTAGATTATTCTTCACTGTCATTAATATCAATATAAATTTCTGCATATAAAAATTGACAAAAACTCAAACTAGGTAGTTGTGATGGTATACAATAAATTTTATGAACTCAACAAAAATGACTACATTCAACGCTAAGTCTCTATAATCCAGTTAGAATTATTAAAATTCACTTGGTTAGGATTAGAAAAAAAAAAATTCCTAAAGTGAGCAATTCAGGTATCACTTTAAGAGTGTATCTTATGGTTCAAATAATCCTGATGAGATTAAATCAAATTTACAATAGCCTCCCAGATTTCCCTTTTCTTTTTTCTTTATAGAGTAAAATCAATCAACAGTCTTGACTTCGAATGAACACGCTTTGAGCATGTGCAACAATATATATCCACAATAATACGTCACTACGTAATGACGATGGAAACGGAATACTGCCACAAGACATGTACATGTAGTTGTGTTCATTTCATCTTCTGATCTAATTGTTCTAGTTTTTATCTTGTTGCATTATGCTTTGAAATGTATTCTGAAAACAACTATACACAGCAAATTTTAATCAATTTGACGAAGGGATTCAAAAAAATTTAGTGTGGATCAATTGTGAAAGTTTATCAAACTAATGTACATATATATATATTGTGATTGGGTTCGGTCGGCCACATTCCAACTTGAGTAGGATTTCAGCGGAACTTGAACTTGAACTTTCACGAATCATTTGATAACATAAACTGCATTTATTTGCGAACGAAACTCTTCAAACGAAAGTGCAAACTTCTGATAAATACATAAACTTGTAGAATGCCATAAAACATGATGAACTAACTGACCCAAAGTTGAGCACGAACTAAAAACTAGAACAGAACTACCCTTAACTTAAAGAGAAATAGAACATTACGGCGTTTTCCACGCAGACAGAGTTTAACCAAACAGTGACTGCGTACTAAATTAATAATGGAATATCAGTCAACACCTATGGCATACTGTAAAATGACTAATTTTCACTGGGTTTAAATTTCACTGATTTACCATTTCAGGCATATTCAGTGGGTTTTAAATTCAGGATTTTATCATTTAGATAATGTGTTCTATGCTAAAACCCAGTGAATAATTAACCCATTTACAGTATTATGGTTTCAACGATATATATACATACATATATATTTTGCCCATCCATCACTTAGGAAATTTATAATTACAATTATTTAATTTTGATGTTAAAAACATAAGGTCTATTATGAAATGTATATTTCAGCTAACTGTACGAATATGGAAGTCATTTTTTCAGAATTTCATTTTTTCATTTTCTTGTAGTTCAGACTTTAGTCATTGTTCCATGATCTATACTTACTGCTTCTGCAAACTTGTCATAGGGCATATGTTACTGGCCTTGGTATTGTGCGTGATTCTTTGTAAACTTTCAACCCATGACTGTATAAGAACAATAAAAAAACATAGCAAATCTATTAAAACTTTGCACTTTTTCAAGATGACAAAAGAATTGTTAACAACAAGGACAACAGTCCTTTCAAGCCGCTATACTCTCTACTGCGTTAATTGACTATGAGCTACCCAAGAAACCTGTAAGTTTTGAGGTATTGATATAAATCTTGACCAGTCGTGACACACTATCTCTATTATAACTATGCAACATATAGAAAGCATTAGAACTATTGGGGGGCAGCAAGTTTGCAAGCTTGTCCTCTAATTTAATTCGCTGACAACTTTTGTTTTGACGAAGTAGATGCTCATGTCTCTACCAGGATTCAGAAAAAAAAAGAGGGTGAAATTTACTTTATTCTGCCCCCAGAATTTAAACAATGTAGTTCGTTGCTTCATTGCATTGAAAAGATCTCCTTGTTTCAGCCATGTTGAAAAACGTATTTTTCTGAAAGTGTTTGGTACTTCGAGAATGATCGAGCAGTGTAATTACTTAGTCTGCTTGTTATTGCCATGTTGACAAGGAATGGCAAATATGCATGAGCCTGAGCCTGTTTTTGAACGGAAAATCATTTCAAAATCCACAGCGTACACAATTTTGCCTGAAGCTGACATCGACTGACAGTTAAGACAGCGGAACAGGCAATAGTAAACATATATGTGAAAGAAATCCAAACTAAGCTTTATATTGTCAAAAATTCACAGCTTGTGTTTTCGCTTGACTTGATCAAAACAATCAGAACAGGGTAAACTGACGGAGTAAATAAATGTACCTGTTTACGCAATATAACATATATACAAAAACAGTACCCAGTATCAAGATAGCGAGGCAACTGCATTGCTTTGGGTGTAGCGTTAGGGCTAATCCATGTATGTATTGAATTACAGTGAGTGGCTATAAAAAATAAATAAAACTCACTCATCCAGGAAAATTGGAGGATGGTTATCGGTTACAAATTATATAAGTGGATCACCTACCGGTACTTCTCATATAAGTAGCACATGCATTTTGAATTGATTCACTGTCTTGCTCAAAAGCAATTTATTGATTTCGTTCAAATTTAGATAAGCGAAAAACGACCTTAAATAATGATCAAAATTTGGAAAATATGCACATTTGGTAAAAAAAAAAAAAATCGACGAAAAAACACAGCAAATTGAATATATAACCTCAATATCAGAGATACGTATTTGGGGTAACAATCATATCATAAAACCATAACTTCTTACCTGGGCTGTGGCGGCGCTGTCCGCTACTATTGTCATGTAATTAATATTCACTAAATCCAGCCCACTACAGACTGTGATTGACCTTTCATCCAAGTCTCTTGAGCCATCCGGGTCCATCACCGAATATATTTTACTGTTTTCCTACAATAACCAAAAAACACCATGGTTTTAAACTCGCATATTCAGTAGAAATTGAAGCGTAATACATTTATAAACGCAAACAGAGAATGACTATTCCAGAAGGTGTTCTAAAGCATTTATAACAAACAATGCATGGAAGAGTACCCATTAGTTATAAAATTTAAGATGTATAATTTTGTTTATAATAATATAGTTTAAACATAAACATAAACATATCAGAGATATGGATCCGGAAGCTGATGCTTGATGATTTTTTAGAATTAAAATGATTGACATTCAGTCATCTTGTATCTGATCGTCAAATGAGTACTTGTCCATACTGAGAGATATTGCTCTGGAACAGCATTAATTAAAACAAAATGGCCACTGGTCAGCCATTTTGAATCCAATCTGAAAAACGAAATGAGGTGCATCAAGGCCTCATATCCAAATTAAGGACGCATGCACGCACAAACAACAACAACAACAACAACAAGTCATTGAAAATGACACAGTCCCCGTTAAATTAAGTTCTCTTTGTGCTAGTCATGTTAAAGCGGAGGGGTTGTCGCGAGAGTGTCCTTGAAACTTGAGTTCCAATTGATGTATACAACAGATTGTTCATTTACATCAAAACACGTGTTCCGTGTAGTAGTAATATGGCCAAAAATAATCTTGGATCTGATTATGAAACACACTGATATGTATGATGTATTTGCCAAATACGAATGAAAATGGTACATAAATTGTGGAAATATAGTAGTAAGATAAAAACTCAGATGGCTGTCAATCGGCCATCCTTGACCAGATTTTGAAACAAATTGTCATGGACATGCATTCTAACATGTATAAAGTACATGTATGTGCCAAATTTGAATGAAAACTGACAGAGCACGTCCAAGATACCGCATAAAAAAACAAACAAGATGCCTGCCAGTCGACCATCTTTGATCCAATTGCGAAATAAATCGTCATGGACATGTATCCTAACATGTATAATCTATGTACTAAGTTTGAATGACAACTGACAAAGCATGTCCAAAATACAACATTTTCAAAAAACAAGATGGCTGCCAGTCGGCCATTTTAAATCGAATCGCTAAACCACTGCATGTGCATATGTCCTACATAAGGTACTAGGCACATGCAAAGAATGAACGGAATCGGTCCACAGGATTCTGAAATAAGACTCTGCACAGACTGACGGACAGACGGACGGACAGACGAACAGATAGACTCAGAAACTCACAGACAGTTGGGGACATATATCCTAACATGTATGATCTATGTACTAAATTTGAGTAAAAACTGACAAAGCATGTCCAAAATACGACATTTTCAAAAAACAAGATGGCTGCCAGTCGGCCATCTTTGTTCCAATTGTGAAATAAATCATCATGGACATGTATCCTAACATGAATAATCTATGTACCAAGTTTGAATGACAACTAACAAAGCATGTCCAAAATACAACATTTTCAAAAAACAAGATGGCTGCCAGTCGGCCATTTTAAATCGAATCGCTAAACCACTGCATGTGCATATGTCCTACATAAGGTACTAGGCACATGCAAAGAATGAACGGAATCGGTCCACAGGATTATGAAATATGACTCTGGAGAGACTGACGCACGGACAAACGGACGGACACACGGATGGATAGACTCAGGAACTCACGGAAGGTCGGGGACATATACCCTAACATGTATGATCTATGTACTAAATTTGAGTGAAAACTGACAAAGCATGTCCAAAATACAACATTTTCAAAAAACAAGATGGCTGCCAGTCGGCCATTTTGAATCCAATCGCTAAACCCCTGCTTGTGCATATGTCACACATAAAAAACTAGGCAAGAATGAACGGAATCGGTCCAAGGGATTCTGAGATATGACTCCGGACGGACGCACAGGCGCACAGGCGCACGGACGGAGACCGAATTATAAGTCCCCGTTGTCGGACTTCGTCCGAACGGGGACTAACAACAACAGGGTGACACAAATTCCATTATCAGCCCTGTTTCACTATTTTGCAAGAAATAAAAGAACCATATTTTTTCAAATTCTCAATTTTTCAAAGATATGGGCAACAATAGCAATTCAACATCTTGGGTACAAATTTGACCTTTTCACTACCAGTTTCCACTTTTCATCCCAAATTCACAAAATAGTCCTGTTTATAGTCTGCACTTACCTTCAAAAGATTGGAACAAATATAGCCAAATTTTTTGAGCAAAAATTAAAATTGACTCCAATTTTGACTGTTGGCTCAAAAATTAGGGTTCATTTCCAGAAAAATTGAAGGTGAGAAAGTCTTGCAATGAAAGGGTTAATTGAATCTGGGGCATATGTCATGCAATCAACCATATCCTTTATTTCAATACAACTGCTGTACCCGTAGAGTATCGAGTCTCTGAGCCACGGAATTTTAAAACAAGAATATTTAAAGAAAACTGCTTGGCAACAGTGCATATGCACTGATGACTCTGTATACATCATAACACAAAGAAAAGATTAAAAAACGATTTTAGGCATTTTTATTTTTTTATGAGAAGTTGGCATATGGATGTGAAATATTTATGTTTCTCTTTTATCTCTCCCTCCACTTCCCCATAAAATCAGCTCACCTTCCTTTTATTGTTACCATACCAACAGTGATGAAGAAACATAAATGCTACTTTCTAATAACCGTCACGATAAATAACAACATCACAGTTTTTGTTGTTGCCAATCGGCTACAGTGACACCTGAATGAAATTGCACAGTATACGGCTTTCGGCCTGTTATTACATTTCACATATCATCCCCCAACCAGAGCAGGATGGGAATTTTATAATGGTGCAGTTTACTCCCATTCATGCAGAGTACTGTAAATTTATTATTATAGTTAAATTTAAACTGATAAAAATTTAGTATATTTTCTTTAGTACAGTATATGCTATATATTTCATTGAATAGTTTGGATGATTTATTTATTCTGATATTTATCGTACATCATGATAAATATCTTACCCAGTTTGATATTAAATTGATTTCCCTACTTCTATTGTAAACTAAGGTTGGCGTGGCCATTCTAATGTTCATGCATATACGTGTGTACATTATAACAAGTAATATTTATGAATTATAAATTATTTCGAATAATAAAGCATGTATTCTTTGATGTAGCGACATACACGGTAATTTGCAAGGGATCAGTTCCAGATGTGGGTGAACAAAATGTACATAGATAAGAGTTGCATGATGGTTACTACATGTACATATAAAAAAGACAACATAACCATCAAATTTCATTATGGTTTTAAATATTGTAGAATACTTTATTTTTGCTGAATGGATGATTCATAAAACATAATATACACTTTTTCTATATTTTACATTAAATTCATCAAAAAGCAGTGAAAATAAACTTCGTACAAAACAGTATTTACAGTAGTCAATTTGTATTAAAGATGATTATCATAAAATGGCTGGTTGATGATTAGCCCACTCATCGTCATGTGGTGGCGCTGTTTCTTTCAAAAAGGCCATCTGATGTATAACTACTTAGCAGTCAGGAAAATGCTGGCATTCATTAATCAGTGATTTTAAACTGAAGTCACTGGATATTTCGATCCTATACAAGAAATGGGTGTGAAAATATCAGTCATAAAGATTTCTGATGTAGTAAAAACACTAAGATGTTCTATCACCAACAAATTAGACCTTTTAGACTGCCAGCAACATGCAGTCTCGCAGCAGAACTTTGCATTTTAAGAGAGAAAAAAAAAATTCTTACTTATTTCCCATTATAATTTTACTCAGTAAAAAAAAAAAAAAGTTTTGGACCATTTATTATTATGTGAACAACGATCCAGTCAACTTGTACTGCAAACTAAGTGTATCCATTATTGAGGCAGATTGCCATCAATCACAACCTTGAACTTGATGTCATTAACCTTTTCAGCGTGAAACTTTTTTACATGCTAAAAATTGATGTGACATATTCATATTTTCTGTAATTTTCACTGAATTCAGTCTAATATTTAAACCAAACATACTATATACAATACAACATTGATTTATAGTTTTTGTTCAAAGCATTTGTAATTTTTCGTCATACTTTCTGTAATTTTCATTGAATTCAGCCTAATATATTTAACCAAACAGACTAAATGCGACATTGATTTTAGTTTTTGATCAAAGCATTTGTAATTTTTCGTCAACATTTTATGCAGAAAAGGGCAGACCATTTGTTAATGATTCCAATCATGGATAAAATTTGGGATGGCACAAACTTGTATTTGATCTTAATTGAGGATTTTCAATCGCAGTACTGAGCAGTAAAAAGGTGGGGAAAAGCAACGATTACAGGAAGATTTTATCTATTTACTTTACTCTTATATCTCTGTCTTTCATCTAAAATATTGAATCAATATATCATACATTATAATAGGGTTATCATTTTAAGCTGAGAAAAATTAGAACTTAGTTTGACGTCATTATGGAAAGGAAAAACACTGGATGGTTAGTACAACTATACTACTATTAACCTTTTAATTTCCACAGCAAGAAATTTCTACAATTACATTTTCACTGACTGATTTTTCTCCTGTGAAATTAGAGCAGATCATTTTATATATAGTTTCAAAATATGCAGACCATACAATAAAAATGAAGAGACATTTTGTTTTCATCACAAAAAAAATTGTTCTCAAGTAACAATAAGCTGAATATCGATATTAATGTTTAAATTATATGCAAGTACGGGAATTTAACCTATTAAATGGGTTCGAAAATGTTATGTTTTTTTGTTTGAAAGTTTGATGAAATATTTGGATTTGTTTTACTCAGTATGAAATATTTTTGTTGTTGAGAAAACTGTTTGCAAAAATGAGCTTTTAATAAATATTTCAAAGGAAATTCATGTTAAAGCAGTATTTCATAAAAAAAAAAAAAATAGTATTTGTCAGAATTTATCAATAATTCAAGCCAATCAGAAGTTTTCATCTTAAAATGATTTTGTTACCAGATGTACCTGAA